AGCTAGATATATTGGGAAAATTTCTCACCCCAAAGGAATACCAGTCAGAATCCTGGGAGTGTGGCATGACAGTACAGGAAAAAAAGACTATCAAAGAAACCTGATTCAGCAGAAATTCAGAAAGACCAAAGCACTCATAGGAATAAAAAACCTCACAGATAAACAGATGCAATACATCATAAATCATGTCCTAATACCTAGTGCTGAATACCTGTGCAATGATATGATCCTATCAGAAAAAGCATGCAATCTCCTTATTATTATTATTATTAAAACTGGCTCATCCCACACCTTCTTCAGTACTTTATTAATAAAAGATCATATTTAGCAACAATCAGAATGAATACTTTCCCATACTGTCTAAGGATTTACAGATCACTAGAGAGAAATAGAATAGGAAGCTATCTATTTTTATGACTCGATCTATGTCTAACCCACAACCAAGATAAGAAAAATATATGACCGCCTAGTGTAAATACTTCTCTTTTAAAAACAAAGTGGGGGACGAATAAGATATACAAGCTATGCATTGTTCACCTATCCCTATATTCAGGAATCGACGTTATCTAGAGTACACTAATGTACCCACCGATAGGCTTGTTGCCACCCACTGTGGGACCTAACATGCCAGGACTCGCACAAGAGTCTCAACACTATCCGATATTGGAGGTCTCTTGTACTAGTCTTGCGACTAGTCAGTGTTAAAAATAAAATTAAAATGGAGGGGGAAGATTGAAAATATTTACAAGAAAATGAAGTAGGGAAAGGAATGAAGGGATGCCTAACAACTACTCCTCTATTCAACTTTGCCTCAGAAAATACTCAGTCCATAGCCTTGATACTTTCGGAGATGATAAGAGAGAGGAAATCACAGTCCATGTGATGTTTATCCACTGCACAACTAGCCAGTGACTTATAATGGACCTAAGGTTCTAATGGAGCTTAGGAAATGTATTCACGTACTATGTCATGTGTATCCTTGTTTACATTTCTGCTAACTGTAAAGCAACTAGTCCCAAACTTCAGCCAATCAATCCATCCAGAATCTGGTGTAACAGAAAATTCAGGGTCAAGCTAGGGTAGGCAAAATTCCCTAGAAAAATCAAGAAAACTATTACACGCTGAGAGAGCAACCGTTTTTGCCTGTGGTGTTGATGTCTGCCTACTGGCTGGCATAGAGTTGTTGGCCCAAACTTCTTCCTAGACTCTGGGACCTCCATAGGGAAGGGAGAGAGGATACTTTTTTGTCTGGTTTCTTCTTCCTAGAAAAGCTTTCTTGCTATTAACTTCTTAGATAAGGGATTTGTGAAGAGGAAAAGTAAACAAGAAGGGTGTAATATGACTACTGCCAAGCGGGGCAGGTGTTTTTAGAGAGAGTTTTGAAGTTTTATTACTCTCAAAACATAAAGTTTTGAAGAAACGCTTCTTTGAAAATAGTAGTCAGGAATCTATGGGAAAGAGTTGATGGCATGCAACCTCCTTATGAGTAATATCACTTCAACCTTCAAATACAAACTAGGTTTGGCTAGAATGACTCCTAATAATATCCTATACAACAAATATGAATACAATATTATCCACCTCTGGGATAGACAATTACTACTACACACTACAAACTGGACTAATAGAATCAATGGAACCAATAGGGTGGGATCAATTGCAAGAATAAGACTTCAGACCCTATAAAATGAATTCTGGTCAACATATCCTATTATGAACAAAATAGAAAGTCCCTTGAAAAAGTTAGGCAATAATCTCATACATGGCATTATATAGCTTTTGCGAAGACATGAATTCACAGCATACTTGTCACAAGAAACTTACAGTCTAATTCTTATAGAAGAAATTGACACTCCTATTAAGGATATAATGAGCAAGGCCTTCTTCATCAAACACCGGAAAAACCTAAAGAAACACAACATCCTCTTTACAGAACAACTCCTCAATGTAAATAGAATGAAAACACTGGAATGGTGCCAAGTCATCCGAATTATTAAAAGATCTATTCCAGGTCCAACTCCTGGTTGGTTTACTACTATATGAAACAAACTTAATAAAATACTAGAAACCAAAGCTCAAGATGATTCAAATACAACCAAAAACATTTTCATACAAGATATATCCACCACTAACCTTTCAACAACTAGACCTCACTGGATCTATACAATCAAAGAAGTCATTCCAACCATCGGTAAAAGACAACAAAAAATAGATCAAAACATCACCAAATATACACTACACACAAAATCCAGAAAGTTCTCCACTGGAGGCATATGAAGGATGTACAATTAATATCTTGGAGGACCAAATAGGGGAATGCAGCTTCATAGCTACCAAACAACAGTCCATTTCAATATCAGTCCACAAAAGCAAGTCTTTAACAAGGAAAAGCCACCACATAGAAAAAGAAACAACCTGGCAAAACAGGGTCTCCCCCAACTTCCTAGCCATAACACTCTCTGAATACACACAACCACCTCCAATTTAACAAAAAGCAAATATTGAAATTCACTCTCAGAAAAGTACACATTTACATCACAAGCATTTGAAAAACCTGCTCAACAGCTCTCCAGAAAGTCTAGAAACACTAGTAATAATCAAAGGAAAGCTAGAAACTTATGCCATCTTTAAGATATTCACTGACGGCTCCCTAAATAATTTCAATGGAAAATACTACATAGGTCTGGGCTGGATCATTATTATTCCAGACCTGAAGGAGTACACCTTCCAAAGACAAATAATCACATACCCATCATCCACTAGAGTAGAAATCACAGCAATCCTTACAGTACTTAGCGTTATATCTGAACTAAAGATGAGTCCCTAAAGAAGGAGACAGGAATATAAGTCAAATGTTCCTCACTAGGAAACTTTAAAATTTTTAAATTAATAACTATAAAAAAACTACCCACAATTGTTCTCCATTATCCAAATCATTGATTTATAGCATTTCCCGAATTTTGTCCCTATTAAAGTGAAGAGCTATGAATTTTGTCCCTCAAAAAGGGACATAAGTTATCTGCGAAATTTTATATGCTAAATACTTTAAGGATCCATCATTAACCTAAACACAGCTCAGTAATCTTGTATACAGATAGCCAGACAATAATTAATGGCATCCTTAGAATCCAAAAGAAAAACCCCAGAAAAATTATAAAAACACAAAAAAACTCAAATCTCCTGCTCCAAATAATAGGCCTATACAAACAGAACCAAATAAAACTATCCCTATACAAAATAAAGGGACATTCAGAAATTGAACACAATGAACAAGCAGACCGCCTGGTACAGATTGACAGATAGAAAGGAATGAGACCAGGTAAAAAAGTAATTGAGATCCTAAGAACATAACATGGTCCACTAGATATAGTTCCTCAATAAAACACCACCCCACAGAAATTCCTATAAAAATGATCATAAAGAAACTTATTCAAACAATTCACCTAGCAAAATGGAGACTTCACAACTGAACAAGATGCAACTACAATGAAAGAATGGTAAAAGAAATACACTGGCAAACAACCACTACACTATTACAACCAACCAAAATGAGCAACTATCATACCGACTGGGAAGATTAAAAACTCAGAAAATTCTGCCTCAGCATCTGGAACGATGAATTGCCAACCAAAAGCAAATTATATGCTAGAATCCCTTCTATATACAAAGACAACAAATGCTCCAAATACCATGAACCAGAGACTAGTACACATCCATTTATCTGTAATCAATTCAGATCCGAAACTGAAGAGTTCTTAATCAATACTGTAACTACCCACATCAAAAGCTATACTACACAAGAAGAGGGAAAAAAGTTTGAGAACAAATTTACAAGTAAAACAAGTTGGAGATACAAAGAATATCTAATAGCAAGCATTATAGGTGTCTTCTTCAAGGAGCTAATCTTCCAAATCCAAATCGCCATCTCAGACAGCCTGAATAAAAAGACCTGCCTCACTCAAATATGCACTGACATAATCAATTTCCTATACAGAACCTGGACAGAAAGATGTAAGATGTTTCAGAAGTGGAAGGTCACCATGGGCATTACAAAAAAGAAAGAGAAACAAGCAAAATACGAGTCCAAAAAGGAAGATCCAACATTTAACTCGAGGGAAAGATACATAAAAGACCAATACATCAGGCTGGTTAATGACTTCATGGACCAGTGGCTCACTAACATTATAGACAACTCCTTTATATTTGAAATTTATTTCAGCACTAGCCCAGCCTTGGCAGGTTAACCTCCTCACAAGGGGTGGCAACAAGCCGCAAGGTGAGTACTCCCACAGGGAATCCTCTATTGAGTTTTATTTGGTATAAAACAGGTAGTAAGTTCTAGGGTAGCCTTCCTATGTAATTTTGCTGCAAACATACAAATAAAACAAGGTTGAGCCAGCGTTTAAAAAAAAAAAAAAAAAAAAATTGGGAAAATTTCTCGACTATCACTGTATATAAAACCATTCTTATTTTAAGTAAATAAAAAAATTCTATACATCTTTCTATGCTCTATGAAAATTTTTTAAAAAGAGAAACGAAAAATTATTCATGTGACTTTTCAGGGAATGTACCGCTAGAATTATTTCCAATCTTTACAACAAAGGTCTTATCCTTTAAATCATAATTAACAACTTTTCCTCTATTACCAATAATTGAGGAAGCAATAGACCGTCACCTATCCCCGAATTAGAACCAATAATATATGCAAATATTTTAAATGACATAAATTAGCCGTTTCACTTTTTTTTGGATTTTAGACACTTAAAAATCGGAATATAAATCTCATAATAAGAAATTTTTTCTAGTAATAATAATGGTTATAATGTTTTTATATACACATAATTCTTATTAATGGTTTAAAAATACATAGCAAAAACCTTGTGAAATCAAGCGAAAAAAAAAAAAACTGGTTAGACATATTATTTGAAATTAAAGCAGCATTATGAAACATATAACTTTGAACCTCTTGAGAGATTAACGTTCGTTCTGCTCCCATTTCTTCAATAATATGCGCCACAATTATCACAGTAAAATTGCGGGGGCATTATATCATCAATCGAGTAATCCACAGGCGGTTCTTGTTCTATGCGAAGGTCGTTTTCTATTGCATGATCAAAAACAATCTAAATAGTTATGATTTAAATTTATGTCTTTTAATGTTCCTTTTTTTTGAAATCGAAACATCGCGTTTAATAATAGCGAACAATTACCTTGGCATGAAATGATATATCATATTTAAAAGGTTTTCCCCCGAAGTTAGCCTCAATCGATTCATTTGTAGTAATTAATCCAACCATGGGATAGAATTCCCCATAGTCAATTCCTACATATGCCGTTCCTAATATGAAGAACGAAAACATGAGGAATCATATAGGAATAGAATAAAATATCTTGAAATCGTTTTTTCAAACCTAAGCTAATCCCATTTTTTGTGTAGAACACAGTACGATTATAAAAATTCACACCACACCCAATCGTATCTCCTTCAGTAAACAAAGGTCCATACTTCTTTCCCCTAGGGTGTTGTATGTACATTAATCCATTATCACCATGATATCCTAGTGAATGTTTTTCCCAGCCTGCAAAAAGATTTACAAGATCGAGTTTAGAATGATGAATGAACATGTTAAATATTCTCAACATACCTGGCATTTTATCTAAATCAACGTGCTTCAATCCAAGTCCAAGTCCAATAAATCTGAAAAATATAATTATTTCAAATGTATAATCGAAATCCACATTCCTGATTAAACAATTACCCTTTCTCTCCTTTATTTAATATATCTAATTCATAATAAAAAAGTCCAACTTTGCGAGGAATAGGATAATCTGTTCTAATGGCTGCTGAATTTGAATTATTCCTGCCAGGGCCTTTATAATAAATTTTATTAAAAATCTAAAATCGAATCAATAATCCGTTTGAAAAACATTCTTGAATTTTACCAATGTAACGAAGTCCTAATCCGTTCTCCGTAACTTCAATATAATTAGAGGAATCATCGGGATTCCATTGAGATGGCAGAAATATCGGATCTTTAGCAGTTTTATTGTATACATCTATTGGCGTGTTTCGTAAGTATGAAGGCATGAAATACAAGGTGTTTAATGATTTAGGACAAAATGAAGGTTCGGAAGACGAATTAATAATTTCAAACATTTTGTACGTTAAAAACTGAAAGAAATAAAGTATGTGGGCTTTAAATACAAAATTCCGGACGCCACACTGATTGACGTATCCCTTAAATGCTATTTAAGGGATTTTAATTTGTATGCTACGAGCTTAGTCGCGAGGATTCCAATTATTCCAATAAATTTTGTTAAGCTAGTTTTTTTAAAAAAAGCTTAAAATGTTATACATTTAAATTTACTATTAGTAACATAATTTATATTAGCTATTATTATATATAGTATGTCAAGAAAGTCTTCAAAAATTTATATTTCTTAATACAATAAATGTTTTAATATATACTGTATATATTTATTTACCCGCAATCATGCCATCATGGCATGAGACTATAAGCTAAAGAACTATACTACTTAAAAAATATGAATAATCTATTAAGCTAGTTTGGAATAAACAAAATCAAGTTTCAACTAGGTACTCTAAGTTAGATTTAGGGAACAATGTTTCACTCTTCTAGCAGTTTGGTACTTGTTCTTTAATTCTTAGAATCATTATTAACAATTTGTTAATATTAATTATTTCAAAAAGCAATAAATTGCTAAAATAGGAACTAGAAAAAAAAAAAGAAAAAACAATCTAAAGATCTTTTAAAAGTTTCTTAATTTATTTGACAACCTTTTCTTAAAAGGGATTTGTCTAATTAGAATATTTTTTGGTTTTATGATATTTGAAGAATTTATCTATTTTAGAATAATAAAACTTCAAAAAAAAATATTTGAAGCATGCTCATATATAGATTTACTTATTACAATTATTAATATTATTTTATATTATAAAACAATTTATTTAATCAGAATAAAAAGATCTCTTTAGGAACTTTGTTTAATTAAATAAAAACTTGAAAATCTTTATTTTTGTTTAATAAAGTCTTTTTGTTATTTAAGAAACTTAATATCAAATAAAAGTTAATAATTTATATTATCTATTTATCTTTTAATATTATAATTATTTTTAAAAAAATTTGTTCAATAACAAGAAAATATATTTAAAGATATTTTTTCCTAATAATTAATAATAATATTAAAACATATAAATATAATTAAAATGGCATCAATCTCTTCCCGCTGATCCTCTGACCACACACAAAAAAGATATTTGCAGAAGTCTTGTCACTTCTATGCTAACAAAGTCTTAACACTCTCCTTAAACCAACCTGAAGGGGTTTTTCTCAGGACTCCACTACCTCTCCTCACATTGTCTACAATCTTCTTCGAATAATACTGGACTCTTGTGGCCTGCAAAGTTCAGTACCCACCTTGACTATCAATGGCAAGAAAGTTCTTCAATGGAGAAGAACCAATAACAAAGTACCTGCCACTTAACAGTTGAAGTGGAGGAACAAGACAGTATCTAAGAGAGGGTTTCTTCCATTCAAAGGACTCATTCTCTACCCTTTGAGTGGTTGTATACCCTCTTAGAACTATCACTTTTCACGACTTTTTGAGAAATTTTGCCTACCCCAGCTTGATCCTAAATTTTGGGTAGCACGAGATCCACTGATTCTGATTGGTCGACATGAAACACATTGAACAAGATTGATAAACAAGCTCTTATTGGCCACCCCACGTGTCTGAATGCATTTCCTCAGCCCCATAAGAACCTGGAGTCCACTATAAGTCATATGCTCTGGTGCGGGTGGATATAGGACACTGCAACCTCTTAAATTATTGGCCATCAAGGAAGAGTAAACAAGCCCATGGACTGTTCGCCCCATAGACTGCACACAAAGACGAACCTTATCACTCATAAAAACACAAGATCATACAAAACAGTTTCTTAAGAGATGGGTGACAGGAGTTCCGTGACACAAGACTGCGCTCAAGACAAGACACAAAACAGTCTCAAATTATTTTTCTTTTTTCTTTTTAGTGCTAACAAGGTCTTCAGATCTTGTATAAGAAACCCCCAACATCGGTAGTGCTGAGCATCTTAGATAAGTTCTTGACATGTTAATTCCTCTCAAAGGGTAGCAACAGGCCATCCGGTGGAAGTGTCGGCTTGCGAGGAGGGAGTATGATTTGTGTCCTATTAGTTTGGTAGTATACATCTACCTCTTTTAACTTTGTTAAGGATTAAGAGTAGTTCTACACTAGACGATAATATAGTTTCTCTATTCTGGTTGGGTGAAATATAAATAGATGCCCTTTGTACTATTCGTTGATTTGTAAATCCTTAAACAATACAGGTAACTAATAATTCCGGTTGTCCCTAGAATGTATCTTAATAATTAATAAAGGAACTAATCCAGCACAAGGATAAGCTATCATTATAAAATAAAAAAATAAATAAAAATAAAAAATATATATAATTAAAAAGAGTTTATTTATTTATTTTTGTTTTTTTTTTTTTTTTACCTGCAATCAGGTCAACATGGCCTGTCTTTATTATATAAATATATAATATTTACAAATTATTTAACTTTTATATATAAATACTCTTTTTATTAATCCTTTAACTATATACAAAAAAGATGGTTATAAAAAGTTTTCAACTTCTATGCTAATAAAATCTTCACTCTCTTTTTAAAACTATTTGAAGATTTATTTTCAAAAGCCTTTCCTACTGTCAAAGGTCACGCGAATAATACAATTTACATATAATAGTTTAGAACCTAAAAATCTAAAGGTTTGGGATAAAAGATTGAGTATTATGAAATAAGAAACTATGGATTAATGCTTGAATACTGATATAGAAACTATGTGTGTTTGATAGAGTATAAAAAATTTAGTAAAGTTTAGAGTTAGTATAGCCTATTGTAAAGTAAATAGTCTATTATTAGCTAGAAAAGTATAAATAACCTATCAGTATAAGCTGAGAAGACAATACTGAGTATAAAAAGACAGTTCTTCTTATGAATAGAGATAATAATTAGTATTATAAAAAAAAAAACAGAATATAAATAAAGAGATACTTATCCTTGGTCAAATCAATTACCATATCTCTACCTTCCTTAAATATTCTTTACAGAAGATATTTTCTTCTTTGTATTAGTTATAAATATTGTTAGTCATTTAAATTATATGAAATGCTACAGATTAGCAATAAACTCATCAGATTAGTCTACAGTACTACCTTCTATTTTTTATTTACAATTCTTTTTAATAATAAATTTAGCTTTTAGTGATCAAAAAAAATCAAATAACAACTTTATTGCTAATAACAAAAAAGTTCTTAAAGAAATAAGAATCAATAGTAAAGTATTTAAATGGCTTTCTTCATTTTTGTTAAGATTAGAGAGATTCTATATAGTAAAAAAAACTTATTCTCTTCCTCTTTTACTATTATTCTTTTTTCAAAGTTACCATTCTCATGATTTTCTGGAGAATTTTACCTACCTCAATTTAACTTTGAATTTTAGATAGCACAAATTTTTATCAAAACTAATTGGTTATCATAAAATATATTGACTTTTGAAATGTAAACAAGCTTTTATTGGTCATATACACATGTTTAGATAAGTTACTGCTTCCTAATATGTTATTAAATATTAAGAAGATGAATAATCTTTAAGAAAACCATCTACTGCTATTCAGGAAAATTAGAAAAACAAGATATTCAAGAAGATATAGAATAAAGGCAAAGTCTTGAAAGTGTATTACCTACTTATACAAGCCTAAGACACTAGGAACTAAGAGATTTTCTGTAATTGTTCATATCAATCAAAAATGAAATTACTGGTAGGAGATGCTGATGTAAAGCAGTATAGTGAATCAACTTCTTTATGATAATAGTATTTCAAGAGCAATATTTATCAAAGCTAGTGAAGGCACATTCTAAAAAGATCAAAAAAATTTTTTTAGATAGGCTATTGCAATAAGTAAGTAAGAATAGATTTATTGGATGACAAAGGCCTTATATCTTATATCACTTTTCTATAATCCCTTTCTTCTTAACTTTCTTTAACTCCTGTTTTAAATATTCTCAAAAATCTCTTTGACTTATTTGGTTACTTGGAGAAATATCAAAAAGAAGATTCAATATAAGTAGAGTAAAGCAAGACATAAAATTGAAACTAGAAAATACAAAACTATAATATGGAATTATTAAAAACAATAAAAGAATAGATAATATACTCTTAACTAATGAAGTCTTCAAGAGTATTCAACCAATGATACAAAAGTAATAGTAGTACATGGTTTCAAATATTGACTTTATAATAGATAACCATTTTCTTTCTCTCACCAAGTTCTTTTAAAATATGAGTAGAATCTTTTTTCCTATTAACACTTGTAAAACTATTGTTTTTTTAATTATTTCTTCTGGCAATAAACAATTATTTAAGAAGATTGATATATAAACATATATTTTCTTATTGAATTAAAATAGACAATCCAGATTCAATACGCATATCAATCTTCCTTAAAATTTTTATCACTCTAATGGTCTTCTTATTAGGTCTCTATCTAGAAATGACTCAACTATAAAATAGTTTTTTAACCTATTATTAGTTTATTATTTATTATTGTTTTCTTCTGATTAGATATACAGTATATTTATTGTAAAACTTTGCTAATAAACTTAATCAAGCTAGTATTAAAAAAAAATAATTAAACTTTCATATGCTGACTCACTTATTTAATAAAAGTTTATTTATATTTTTCAAAATCAATATATTTTATATTAATTTTTTTTTATTACCTATAGTTAAGTTACATTATAGTTTATTAATCAATTAAAAATATAAGTATATTGTTATTCAAATAGTATAATACTTATTATAGCTAAACTTTTTTAATACAATTTAACTAATTTATTATAAATAATAATGATATTTAATTTTAGTTTTAAAAATAATATTTTGTTCTATAATAAACTTTAAATAAAACTTTTTTAAGTTTATATAATATATTATTATCAATATATTATTATTATTATTTATCTTTTTAAGCTACTGAAATACAAAAAATTATAAAAAAAAAAGAATATTTTAATAATATATAAACATATTTTTTTAAAAAAATAAATAAAATAAA